TTATTTATCACCTTGTATTTTTGTAGAACAATTTTATATTCACTTGGCTTGGGAGGTTGAAATGGTCTTGGAGTGTTCTAATCGGGCAACTCACTTTCTCGAATTGAGGGAGAGTCTTTCTCAACGGTTACTAGTCTCTCTTCAGACTATGTTTTCTAAACAAAAAAGAAGAGAAGATGAGAAGTCTGAATTGTTGGTATTGACAAGACAAAAGTTGTATATGACCCTTCTACTCATCGAGCCTCGAGCTCTGTTTGTTTTCTCTCACTCTCTATCTCTATTTTTATTGAACATTTTATTTAAAGAGAGTGTTTAATTTAGAAGAAGTTATTTTTTTATGTATATTATTTTGTTCAGAAAAGCCAAAAGAGGGAGATTGTTGAATACAATTTTATTAATTGTATTTAATATATTGAATTTTATTTTGATTTTCGGAATATAGTAAACTATCTAGAAAATAATAATTGTATATGATATGATTTTATTTGATTTATTGAGTCTTGTTTTGAATAAATATTTGACTTGGAAAATAATCTTATCTGACATATGAAATGGGAATAAAAAAGACGCACGTGAATATGTATGAGCATATTTCGTAGCAGATGCGCTTAATTTTGAGAACAAAACAGTAGTGCAGAAGGTGGAGGACAAATGCGAATTTCTTATGCTGCACAGAATGATACTTTCTATATTCACAAACAGAGAAGAGTACACACGCTTTATTTATGTGAAAAACTAGAAGCACGCATTTTTTCTGGAACAAGAACCCAGATTTTTCAATCAGATTTCGAAGTGTAGATTCGAGATTACACACACAAACTGAGACTAAGATTCATTCAAAATCATCCGGACTCTATATTCTTTCATTGTTTCGCTACTTGCGTTTAAGGATATTTATTGTACGTACATATTGATATTTTTTTCTAGTGACATAATTTAGCATGGTGCCTTACTATATAAATGTATTATCACTTAAATATTATATTTTAACCATCCATGAATGTTTATTTTTGTTGTGTAATAAGTTTTAATTGGTTTTTTTTTTTTTTTTGTATTATTACAGATGTCGGACGATATATCATGACACATCGACAACAACTAAAATCTAAAATAAATAAGAAAATTGAATTTTGGTTTAAAAACTAAATTTTTTGGTACCTATAATTCTAACTACACTATATGTTAATTATATTGTTGTTAGAACAACCAATCGACAATCGTATGTCATTCTGAAATTACTCCTACTATTTTATTTACACTATTTATTTTTATCTGTTATATTTAAGTTTTAGTGCTTTACTATACACTAGTATATGATCATGTGCACATGCATAGATGTTTATATTATTAAAAGTTATATGCATGTATATAATATTAAAATTTTAAGTTAGATAATATCTCACAATTTAAAATTTTTATTATTAGTATATATAAGCATTATAAAAATGTTTAACTTTATCACTATATTGATTGCATAAAATGAATGGATAATGTAGTATTTATAAATTTGAGGGAACTGCACCTATTAATTATCTTAAAAAGTATTATTATTATTATTATTATTATTATTATTATTATTATTATTATTATTATTATTATTATTATTATTATTGTTGTTGTT